TAAGATCAGAAGGTTCCTCCCATTGTGGTTTCTTCTGTGTCTTCAGTCTCTTCTGTGAAGGTTCTCATTGCCTTCTGGTACTAACCAAAACCTGATGACACAGCTTTCCCTAAGTACCTGAGCAGTAACTTTTTTTATTCTCAAACCTTTTACCATGGTGCCTCTGAAGGTAGCAAAGGTCCTTCCTTTTCCTCCCCTGCTCCCTGAAAATATCTAGGTGTGAAGCTCATTTTGTCATAATATGTCATCCTCTGAGTCATTTTCACTCACTTTTTGAAAAATTTCAGCAACTAGCTTACTGTCACTCTCTCCAACATTATTAGATGATTTCAGTATTCTCAGAGAAGAACCTTCAAACATTTATTTCCTGGACCTGCGCTCTTGTTTTTTACCTGTCTTGGCTATTTACTCCTCTGATCATAAGCCTATGTGCTGTTATGTCCCATAACATGATCTCACTTTCAAAGAATCTAACTCTGATCACTATCTCCTGTCCTACTAGTTCACTCCCTTTAATATTCCAATTCCAAAAATCCTTCAGCTCCACTAAGATTTTTCCATCTTTTCATTGTCTCTCATTACCTTCATGTCATCATTTTCCCCTTACCTGGTTAAAATACCATGGACATCATTGTAACTATTCTTTGCTCACACCTTAACATCCTTGTTGGTAACTTGTTGTGTAGGTCTCTTTGGATAAGCCACCAACCTTTATTAAATCTGACTCTGCCTACCCCATGCCTGCACTAATAGCAGAATGTAGCTGAAATTCAATCTATGCTGACTGGTCTTACTTTAAATTCATGATACTAACCTAAAGCAGGCCAACCATATTTCCCTGATTCTACTCTCTCACTTTGATGATTGTTTTATGAAGTTGCTTCCCTCCTCAAACCTCCAGCATCTTTTCCCTCATTCTTCAAATGAGCTAGAGCCAGCCCTTTCTCATGTGTTTTAAATTCCTCCTCATATATTCAAGAATATTGCTCAATATATTCTTCCTTCTGTTTCTTGCATCATTTATCCCTCTTTACACTAGATCATCTCTGTCAGTACACATGTAGTTAAAAAGAAAGGAAACAAAACTCCTTTTAGAAGTTTTTCTCTTTATTTTATAGCAGAGTTCCTTAAAAGTCCATGTTCAGTGATGCTAGTTTCTCTTCTCTCATGTCTCTTAAACTCACTTCAATCAGATTATATCACTCTGCTGAAGCTATTTATTTCTAAGGTCGCCACTGATTTCATACTGCTAAACCTAGTGGCCTATTTCTCATTTTGCTAAACTTATAAGAAGTAAACAAATAAATGATCAAGGTGGAGTCAGGTGGAAAAGCTGCCTATGCAAACTAAAAATAATAGCTGCCATAGTTTATTGCTGTTGAAGGAAATCCAAATATTGGTAGCGTGGAACTGGTGAAAAGGACATAGGAATAGGCAATAGATATTAGAGATACTATAGAGGTAACCAGTGCCACTAGTTTCTCATGAATTCTACAATATTCTATAAATATAGTCATATATTTATCAACTACCATCAGTTTGTTAACCATAGAAAAGCTGAAAGATCGGTACATTGATGACCTGTATTTTCCTTATCTAAATTTATCAGCTGTTAACATCCTGCCACACTCTTTCAGAATCACACGTACTTCATCCTCTCTCGTCATCTGAAAGTAGGCAGCAGATAATATGATACTCCTAAATACTTCACCATGAATTTCCTAAGAACAAGGAAATATTTTTTAAAAAATATTTATTCTTAAGTTTTAGGTGGACAGAATATCTTTATATTACATTTATGTGGTGCTGAGGACCAAACCCAGTGCTTCGTGCATGCTAGGTGAGAACTCAGCCCCGAACAAGGAAATATTTATTTTTAAAAAGCATGAATTTAGGGGCTGGGGTTGTGGCTCAGCAGTAGAGTGCTTGCCTCGCACCTGTAGGGCCATGGGTTCATTCCTCAGCACCACATAAAAATAAGTAAATAAAATAAAGATATTGTGTCCAACCACAACTAAAAAATAAATATTAAAAAAGCATGAATTCATACTAATACTTAGGGTTCAAAGCCAAATCACAGGGTTTATTCTTACCTTCATGCATTAAATATAGTCATGCACCACTTAACAACAGGGACACATTCTGAGAAGTGTTGTGCAAACATCATAGAATATGCTTACATAAACTAGATGGAATAGTCTACTACACACTTAGATTATATGGTATATCTGTATTTAGTGACGCTTATTGCTCCTAGGGCCATGATGAACAGAAGAACAGGAAATTCAATTAAACAAGAGAGAAAAATGATGCAGTTGAGATGCAGTAAACATGAGATGTATGAGGTGTCTGCTAGTGGAACATGGTGTAGTTTTTTTTTTTTTTTTTTTGTGGTACTGGGCATTGAACGCAAGAGCACACTAACTCTGAGCTACACTGCCAGCTGTTTTTATTTTTTGAATTTTGAGACAACATCTCACCAAGTTGCCCAGGCTGGCTTCAAACTTGGGATCCTCCTGCCTCAGCGTCCTGAATTGCTGAAATTACAGATGTGTGCCACTGCAACATGGTGTACTGTTTTACAGTAAACTTTTTTTCACATATGGAAGGAGCATACTCTAAATTAATGATAAAAATTATAGTAAATACTAAACTAGTAACATAATCATTGATTATCATTATCAAGTCTTATGTACATTGTATATATAATTGTATATGATATACTTTTATAGAATTGGCAACAGAGTAGTTTTATTTATATCAGCATCACACAAACACCTGAGTAATGCATCTTACTAAGATGTAATGCATCATACTAAAACATTATGATGGCTATGATGTCACTAGGCAATAAGAAGTTTTCAGCTCCACTATAATCTTATGGAATGACAGTTATATAGCTGGATGTTGTGGAATGAGATGTTACTGTACATGACTATACTTGCATTTCTTTTCTTTTACTATGAGAATTCTGATTCCCAGTAATATCCTTTGTTTTTATAGCCTTAGTTTAGCTGATTCATTGAACATAGATTGAAAGAGGGCAAGACAAGAAGCTGAGGGACTACTTGGAGGCCCCTGTAAGCAATCCCCATGAGTTATAATGGTAGCAGTGAAAGTAATGATAAGTGGCTAGTTTATGAATATATATGCATGTGTATACATTTTTAAAATTTTTGAAGTACTTTCAAACATACAGAAAGTTGTAAGAACAGTACAAAGAAGTCTTGCATGCCCTTCACACTGCATTTGCCCCATTTTTCTTTCTTCAGAGAAAGAGGTATTAAATGCTATAGTGTATAATGCACCTCCAACCTAAAAAATAAAAAGAGAGAAAAACAAATCAATAAGTGTACTTCCTATCTTGGGGTTTCAAGAGAGGGGACCTTGACTTAGTAGGGTCCTCGATATTCCTGAAGGAAAAGAATTTCAGCATGTCAGAGACACAATTTTTTTAAATACTTTTAAAATTTATTTTATGTCGTGCTGAGGATTGAACTCAGTGCCTCACACCTGCTAAGCAAGTGCTTTACCACTGAGCCACAACTGCAGACCCCAGACAAAGTTTTATTTGGGAAAGCAGAGAAACATTTAAGGGAGAGTGCAGGCTATTTCCAGAAGAAGAGACAGAAACCTCTTGGTGTAGGGTATTAGTATTTATAGAAGGGACAGTTGCTAGGGGCTGGACTAGAGGAGGATCCCCGGAGGAGTTACACCATTTTGTACCAGTTTTTCTAGTGCTTGCACATTACTCTCATATTACTTTTTTTTTTTTTTTTTTTTTAGGCAAGGGCATAGGTCAAAGGTATGGACCAAGGGTACGGGCTGGGTTGCTCAAGAGTTTCAGTGGTTTGTGGGCATTTTCTGCATTCCAGTGGTTTATGGGTGTTTCCTGCATTCAACTCTTTATGAGTGCTTCCTTTGAGATTTGGTCTATCTTTCTTTATATATCCTCAAATCCCCATCTCATTATCATACAATTCTTCCAGTCAGGAAGTAAACACTGATACAATACTACCATACAATTTACGGATACCATTCCAATTTTTCCATTTGTCTTATAATGCTTCTTTCCCCTTTCTAGTGTGGGATTCCACCTGTAAGTACATATTGCTTTTATTTGACCTGTCCATCAGTGTCCTTCTATCTGGAATAGTTTCTTGGTCTTTTCCTGCCTGACATGACTTTGACAATCATGAAGAGTACAGGTCTTTTATTTTAGAAGATGATCCTAAACCTAGGTATATCTATTTTTTCCTTAAGTTCAAATTTAGTCCATGTATCCATGAAAGAAATGCCAGAGAAATGATGTTATGCTCTTCTCTTTGCATCTCATTTGGAGGCACACTATGCTGATCCATCACAAGGTGATGTTCACCTTGGTCACCTGGTTAAGTTTGCAGTCCGCCATGTTTCTCTGCTGTAAAGTTGTTGCCAGCTTGCCTGGCTAGCAAGATGAGCTTGGGTTCAAAGGAGCTGGCTATATCAATAACTAAGAAAATGTCGAAGAAACCACGCAGCACATGAATATGAGTTTCTAAGAATGAGGGTAACTCAAGGGTCAGCTCCATGCTGGGCAGGGCTGGAAATAGCAAGAGAGTGAGCACACCTGAAAACCTCCTATTTATTGGGGAGAAGACATTTGATAGAATATTCCACCCAACTAAGGCAAGGGGTAGGATTTCCCAGGGTGAGCTCTTGCTTGGTGATGTCTTATGGTCAGCAGATTAATTGACATCTTGGCAAGTCACACTCATCTCAGGTGCTGTGTGGGATCATAGGCAGAGTGAGAGGAAGGCCACATTTGCGTCGCACAGTCCAATCAGCATGCAACACCAGACCAGTCCCTTCATACATTCAAATATGCATAGCTCACACACACAACCCATGGATGGCTTGCAACATCAAGTCATTGTTTCTCCTTTTGTATTTTATTACTATTGGGGTGAGATAATCTGACATGACACCAATATCCTATTCTTTTTTTTTTTTTTTGGCCTTTCTCACTTTTGGTTTTATGATGAACTAGCACAAAGTTTTTCTGCTGGCAGATACAGAATTTTAGGATCAAATCAGTCTTATACATATTTAACTATTTTACAGATGAGGAAACAGAAATGCTGAGAGGCTGAATGACGTTACCAAGTTATACAACAGTCTGCCAACACTGAGTCAAACTAGAATCCAAACATCTCTGACTCCTGAATCAGTGCTCTTAGATCCACTACTCAACAAAACTTTCAAAAGTAACATGCTGGAAGAGAGAGAGTAGGTGCCCATTTTCCATCAGAAATGTTCGTCAAAGTTTACATCATTTGCAAGCCAGGACAAACTGTAAGAGATACTAAATAAAGGAGGTTAAGTGGGCACTATAGTCGTAGGCAAGCAAATCGGTTTTCCTTTTTGCGGGTTCTCTAAACCTCCCATAATGAAAACATGAAGCAATAGCAGCCTAACGGGACAAAACACTTAGAAGCACAGAAAACATGTCTCAATCTACCTTTCCCAACTATGTCAGGTTAGTCTTAGGATGTTAAACCTGCCACATTATTCCCAATCTGGAGACATTCTCTTTTAAAAAGGAGAAATCATCTCTTTCCAGTTTCTCACAAAAGAAAAAGTATGCAGCATTATCCAATCCTAGTCTTTCCTATTTCTGGGCACCTACCTGGGCTACAGTGAGGGTATGGAAGTCTCAGCCACTAAGAAACAAACTCAGAGCCCCTCTTCAACCTACATTACCTTCTCAGTATCCCCCAGCAGAATCTCAAGTCCTTCCTAGCTAGCACGCTGAGAAGATGTGACTATGTGCCCATTCCATCCCTGCCTACAATATATAAGAGTCCAGAGGGTGAGGAAGGGGAGGGAAGGGGTCCCAGGTTACCCCGCAAGCTTGCTGGTGACGAGTGAGGACTTTCTCTGGGGCAGATCCTGTGGGGTGGGGATGTGGTCACCAGTCACCAGGTTCTTGTCTGGTCCTGCACTCGGCAGCTGCTTATTCTTCATCTTGGCTTTGGCCATGTTGTAGTCTCCTGAGTCAAAGTACTTTTGCCCTTTTTGAAGTCTCTTCATGAGGAAGTCAGAGCCTCCAGGTTTTTGTCCTAGACTTGGATATTTGGCCTTTAGCTTTGCCTCCTCAGCTCTCTCAGGGAGAATACCTTCTTTCTCTTGCGTGTCCTGCTTCTCCTCGCCGGTCTCCTCCGCAGGGTTCTCTTCTTCTAGTTTCTGGGACATGACGGGGACCGGGACTGTGGAGTGTAGGGGACCCGGGTAGTTAACCAGAGAAGGGAAGGGGGAGGGGAAACGGGGACAACCTGCGCTGCTGCTTTGGCTCCTGTCACTATGGTTGCTCAGTCAAAATGGCTCCTATTCTTATTAAATCTCTACCCACCAACTTTAGCTTCATCAGTAATTCCAGTCTGTATTTCCTACTGCTCTAATGGTTGCTAAATGGGAATTATCTATCTCTGTCATTCTGTCTACATTCATTAATTTGCAAGTAATACTTGTACTGTAAGAAAGAGCCCTCTCTCTTTCTTTATTTCCCTCTTTCTCTTTCTGATTTATTGATTCCTTTTTTGGTTCAGTGTGTTGTAATCTGATACCCTTATTTTATTGTGCAGACTTTCCCAGATTTGACCTCTAGGAGTTCATTTATATTGGTGTCTTTGATCTTTTGATATATTCCTATTATTCACTGAGAATTTCCTTATTTCCTAACACAACAAGATTTTTTCAGGTTATTTTGCACTTTCTCTGTTTCAGCTCTGGAATCAACCATTTGTCCAAAGAGCTTGGGTTTAGTGGAGGATGGTTATGGGGAGGCAGGGGTTCTTCTTCCTGCCAAGGAGGGTGTAAGCCACCTAAGAAATAAAAGTCTAGAATAATTAGTAAAGAACAAAAGACAAAGTCAGAATTAGGTTTAAAGGATTGGAGCACCTGATAGGTCCAGTCCACACAGGAGCTGGAGCTAGACAATTAGAAAATGGCTCCTGTTGTTTATTTAAGAGGTACATCAAAGGCAGGGGTAAGGTTTCAAGGGTGGAGTCTTGCTTTTGATGTCTTATAGTCAGCAGATTGATTGGCATCTTGGCAGGTCACACCCATCTCAGAAGGGCTGTGTGCCTGCGTGGTTATAGCAGGTCATCCCATCTCGAGTACTGTGTGGGACCTTTGGCAGAGCTCACAATGGGTCTGGGCAGCAACCAGAGGAAATGTCCACTGGAAGTTCCCAGACACCTGTTTATTAGGCTGTGATGTGCAACAGTCCACACACAACCCATGGATGGCTCTCAACAGATGGTATTTTGTATCCAAGAACTGGGCACACAATAGTTTTTTTTGGCGGGGGGTTCTGGAGATAGAATTTAGGGGCATTCGACCACTGAGTTACATCTCCAGCCCTATTTTGTATTTTATTTAGAAACAGGGTTGTTACTGAGTTGCTTAGTGCCTTGCTTTTGATGAGGCTGGCTCTGAACTGGTGTTTTTCCTGCCTCAGTCTCCCTAGCCGCTGGGATTACAACAGGTGTGTGCCACCATGCCTGGCCACATAATATTTTTTTTTTTTTCCACTATTGTTTTATTGCTACTGAAATGTCATTGTTGGTAGAACCACTTAATAAACAGAACTAAGAAATGTATGTATGTATATGTTAACACACATATCCAAACATCTGTAACTACCTGTGTGTGTATGTATATATTTTTAAAAGAGTTCATTTACTAATACTTCCAATTCCACCCCAACATCTTTTTTTATTATTATTTTCTTTTTTAGTTGTAGGTGGACACAACACCTTCATTTTATTTTTATATGGTGCTGAGGATCGAACCCAGTGCCTCATGCATGCCAGGCAAGCACTCTGCCACTGAGCCCCAGCCCCAGCCCTTATGGTATTTTTTTTAAATTGAAAATATTTTATTTAACCTACTGTATCTACAATGTTGGCATTTCAACACACATAATAAAAATAAAAACTAATAAGATATTTTGCATTCTTTTTTCTCACTAGTCTCAAAATCCAAAGTGTGCTTTACCTCTAGACTGTTCTTTTGTTTTTCTGCTTCGTTTTTAAAACTAATTTTTTATTGGTGCATTTAGTTATATGTAATAGTGGGATTTATTATGCAATATTTGGATATGCACTTAAAATAAGGTCAGTCACCGTCCCCAGTCCCTTCCCTTCCTCTCCTCTCCTCTTTCCCTCAATCTGCTTGTTTGTTGAACTGACCTATACTACATCTTTATAAATAATTATTTTTTAATTGGTGCATTATAATTTTACATAATAATGAGATTCATTATGCCATATTCATTTATGCGTATAACATAATATGATCAGTTTTATTCTCCAGTACCTTCTCTTTTCTTCCTGCTTATGGTTCTTTTAATCTTTCCCTTTTCCATGTTTTTAATTCCTTTTTTAGACAAGGAGAAATCAGACTCGAGTTATTTTAGATTTAATCATTTGCTCTGCCAGTTAAATATATTGCTAAATGTACTTACTCTGCTAACTACTCAGGCTGCCTTTTCCATCTGCCACTCTGTTCTCTCTCCCACTAATCCCATTTCATTGGTGGCTGGAACATGCTGCCACTTCCCCTTCTCCCATACAATCAATCCCATTTCTCTGTATACCAGGTACACTGTACAAAACCCCATCATTCTCGTTGTTCTACTTCCTCTGAAGCTGACTTCTCTTTATTAGGAGGGATATGGACAGGAAGCGAAGGAACAATGGAAGGAATTGGTAGGAAGCCATATTATGGATTTATATTTTGAATATAAGGCTGACAGAATTTGCCGGTAGATTGAATGCAAAATGGGAGAATAGACAATAATTCCAAGGTTTTTGGCCTGAGCAACTGGGAGAATTGACTTGTCATTAACTGAGATGAAGATAGAACTATTGTTTAATGGAGGTGATCAGGAGCTCAGTTTGGGATGTGTGAAATTTGAGATGCCTTTCAAACACACAATAGGAGATAACAATATTCCATGTGTCCACGTTTCTTGAAGTGTGGGGAATATATATTTGGGAATGTTTGGCATATAGATGCTATTTAAAGCTATGAGAACTGAATAGGAACCTGATCCAAAGTTGAAGGTAATAAAGGAGACAGATTCAAAATAAAGGCAGAGATGCCAAGATTTATCCTGCCACTGGCATCTGCAGACTTAAGTAAAGAGTTAGTGCTTTTAGCAAAAGCAGCTTCTCAAAGTCCCTGTGTAAGCTCAGGGACAAGTTCATGTTTGGGAGATGAGGACCCATTAAGGAAGGGGCAACAAATGAGACAGGAGAAAAACAAGGTTAATGTATTTTGGAAAGCTAAGTGAAGAAATGTTTCATTTAATGTGAAAGGATCTACTGTGTCAATTGCTGTTGATAGGTCAGGTAATTTGAATACTACAAATTTACCATTTAATTTAACATATGGAAGTCATTGGTGACATTAATTGTGTGTGTGTGTGTGTGTGTGTGTTTGTGTGTGTAGGGAGGAACCTGATTGGAGCAGGTTCAAAATCAAATGGGAGGAAAGAAATGAGAGACAGAGGACATGGAGAAACTCTCAAGGAGTTTCAGCCTACCTGTATGGTCATATAGCCACAGTCACCTACTTAGTTTATCAGCTCTGGAGCTGAGTTTAAGGTATCTGTTTCTTAGAGTTGTATTATTATTGCGTGTACCTTGCTAATGCACACATACCTTGATAATTACACATAGTAATAACTTACTATATATACAGTTTTTTACTAGTTACTATTTATTTATTTATTTTTTAAAAAACAAACCCACCTTTAATTTTTATGCAGGAAAAGACAGTTTTTATTCCTGATTTTGAAATAACTAGTTACTATTTTAATTTGGTAAAATGTTTGTCATTGGCCAAGAAAGTAATAGGCTGGCAGTATAATTTATAAACATGTATAGTGAGGAAATGACCAGAGCAGTTTCAGTGGTGTGGTAATAGAATATACAGGAGGACCTAGATATGTTTGTTTGCTTTTTGAGTTAGGGTCTTGCTGTTACCTAGGCTCACCTTAAATTGAGATTCTTCTGTCTCACCCTCCCTGAGTAGCTGAGATGACAAGCATGCCCCACCGTGCCCAGCTCATATGACCTAGATTTGGAAACCTCCTCAAAGCCTTTGAAATTCTGAAAGTGTTAGAGAAAACTTTACAGATTATATGTTGATCAGTCATCTTGGGCCTTGATCTTTTTCTACAAAATTTTCAATCTAGTTTATTGAAGAATTGTTTTCTTTCTTCTTCTTTTTTTCCCATACTAGGGATTAAACCCAGGGGGTCTTTATCAGTGAGCTACATTTCCAGCCCTTTTTCTTTTTTATTTTGAGACAGGGTCTCCCTAAGTTGCCTAGGCTGGCCTCAAACTTGTGAATCTCTTGTCTCAGCCTTCTGAGTTGCTGTGATTACAGGAGTGTGTCACCATGCCTGACTTGAGGAGTCTTTTCTATACTCATATTTTTCTTATAATTAAGCCTCATTAAAAAATTGGGATGTAGTTCAGATTGCTGAAATGAATCCCCCCCACCCCCGCTTATTGAACCCATGGTCTGTACATGCTAAGCAAACACTCCACCACTGAGCTACATTCTACATCAACTTTGTGTGTGTGTGTTTCGGGGGGAAGTATTGGGGATTGAACCCAGGAGTGCTCTACTATGGAGCTATATCCCCAGTCCTGTTTTGTTTGTTTTTTTGAGAGAAGGTCTCTCTAAATTGCTAAACTCTTCCTGCAGCCTCTCAAGTCAGTTGGATTACCAGTGTGTACTACACAACCAGTCCTAGACCAATTTTTGTTATCTAGATAAGAAAATTGCTTGTACACTTAACTGAAGGCAGAGATGGCAAACACACAATGCATGTATATTTTCTACAATCCTCTCCAAGTATTGTTGCTGATCAACCACATTATTTTTTTGTGCTGAGCCCAGAGGTATCATCACTATTTTTGTTTGTAATGTTCCAGAAAGTTACTGCCAGTTATTCCAACATGACGTACTATAAAAAGCCTTTTTGAATTCCTAGTGTAAGGATTTAGTCTATAAGATGAAAATTATATGGAAAATAATGCATATAATGCATATAATGTTGAAACTAGCTTTGAATTGTTTGTCATTCACGTGACTCAAATTTATCAATAAGAGTAGTGGCTAATGAGAAACCCTAGCAAAGCTGGAGTAACAGATACAGTGTTTATTCTCTTGTCAGATCATTAAATTAACAATTAATCTCTCTTCTTTTATTTAAAGATTCTACCCTGTTTGCTGAACTTGGTTATTTCACAGACACTGATGATCTGCAGTTGGATGCAATAAATGAGACTTATGTAAGTGTTTGTTAGAGGAGGAATGATGAATAATGTGATGTTTGATTTTCACCCTAATTATTGCAAGAAGGTTTCAGGATAACTGGTTTAGGCTAATAATTTAAATTTAAATGATGTTCATGATCAAGTATGAAAGTAGTCATTTTGTAGTTAGTAAATAGGACAGTACAATTTCATTGATCTTGGTATGGGAAGACTTGTATTCTAAGCTTGGCTTTAGGTGTGGGTAACCTTGGAAAAGTCACTTAATGGCTCACGTCTTGTTTTTAGAAATACTTTACTGCATAAGGGAATTGGTGTGATATTAAGGGGTTTATGTGAGTCATGGACCCCGTCAAGTAGAACTTACCAACTTCTTTTTTAAAAGTTATATATTCTTACTGTAGAAAACTGAAAATTAGGTATATCCTTATTTTTTGCCTTTGATTATTTAGAAGTCTATGTAAAAGCTATGATAGTAATACCTTCAGTTCTCAAAAATTTCTTAAATTTTCTTTTTCCTCTTCTTGATGAGTACGTATGAAGTTGATTAGCCTATGAAATTTTTAACTTTGTCTTGTTCTGTATAATGAATGAGATGCTGCTGTACTTGGGAAGTAATTCAAGTGAGCACAGTAATTTATCAATCAGGTTGAATATCACTTTATTTATTTATTTATTTATTTTTTTGATACTGGTGATTAAACTCAGAGGTGCTTAACCAATAAGCCACATCCCCAGCCCTTTTTTATTTAGAGACAGGGTATTGCTGAGTTGCTTAGGGCTTTACTAAGTCACTGAGGCTGGCTTTGAACTCATGATCCTCCTGCCTCAGCCTCCTGAGCCACTGAGATTACAGGCATGTGCCACCATGCCTGGCTGAATATCACTATTTTTTAAGCTCTTATTAACGTGAGTATAAAAATATATATGCTTACCCAGTAAATTTCAGATATATCTCAAAGAATGACTTAGAATTGTTTTACTATGAATCAAGAGAAGAGAAAGAAACTCATGTTATATTTTTAAAAATCAGCGTGTGGGATTTTAATGGTTTTGTTTACTCTTTGAGATATTATAGATTATGACCTGCTGATTAAATTGACTTTTCTTATTGGCTGGTGGACTACGCAACTCTGTTTCTTTCATAACCTCTTGGTCCTGCCACGCATGGTGGTGTTCACCTATAATCCCTGCTACTCAGGAGGCAGGAAGGTTTGCAAGTTGCAGGCCAGCCTGGGCAATTTAGGGAGACCCTGTCTCAAAATAAACGGGCTCAGTAATAGAGCACTTTTGGGTTAAATCCCTAATACTGTAAACAAACAAACAAACCAAAAAAACCTTCTAGATACCGTTTCTTTTAAATATTATCAAGAAATGGTGTGTTAAATTTGAAAATTTCTGGGAAATATGATTCTGATTTTATAATTCACATTTTATTACATTATGGAAGTTGCTCAAAGTCAATTCCTTAATTTTTCCATTATAACATGAAGGAATTGGATTAGATGATTTCTTAGGGTCCTGGTATATCTTCCTTCTTCTACATGATGGAAGAATTTCCCTTGATAAGTCATAAGTGCTAATGTGTTTTATCTCACATGAAATGGGCCTGTTACATTTCCAACCAGATAGAATTCTTTTGTTGTAGAAGGAATTTGACTTTTTGGTTGAAGACTGATCAAGTCAGAACCATCTGTGAAGTCAGTTATACCAATCAATGAACATGTTTAAAAGGACTGCTAGCATGAGGGCCAGCAGCATTATTAAATTTACTAAGAAAGTGTAAGTATTTTTTGGTTGCTACAAGTCTGCTTAATTTTTTTTTAAAGCTCTGTCCCCGCTCCCTTTTTTGTTTTGAGTGGTGATCCTGGGGATTGAACCCCGGGCCTTGTGCATGCGAGGCAAGCACTCTACCAACTGAGCTAGATTCCCAGCCTAATTTTTTTTGATATGTAAGTTCAAATAAGAGAAAAAAGTGAAAGGAAATTGATCTAATCAATTTGATTGATGGTTCTTTCATGACTTAAGTGTATTTTTTTTAATATTTATTTTTTAGTTTTAGGTGGACACAATATCTATTTTATTTTATTTTTTTATTATTAGTTGTTCAAAACATTACAAAGCTCTTGACATATCATATTTCATACATTTGATTCAAGCGGATTATGAACTCCCATTTTTATCCTATATACATATTGCAGATTCACATAGGTTACACATCCACTTTTTTACCTACTGCCATACTAGTAGTGTATGTTGTATCCTGCTGCCTTTCCTATCCTCTACTATCCCCCCTCCCCTCCCCTTCCCTCCCCTCCCCTCTCCTCCCTTCCCATCTTCTCTCCCTACCCCATCTACTGTAATTCATTTCTCTCTCTTGTTTTTTTCCCCTTTCCCCTCACTTCCTCTTATATGTAATTTTGTATAACAATGAGGGTCTCCTTCCTTTACCATGCAATTTCCCTTCTCTCTCTCTTTCCCTCCCACCTCTCGTCCCTGTTTAGTGGTGATCTTCTTCTCATGCTCTTCCTCTCTATTCAGTTCTTAGTTGCTTTCCTTATATCAAAGAAGACATTTGGCATTTATTTTTAAGGGATTGGCTAGCTTCACTTAGCATAATCTGCTCTAGTGCCATCCATTTCCCTGCAAATTCCATGATTTTGTCATTTTTTAGTGCAGAGTAATACTCCATTGTGTATAAATGCCACATTTTTTTTTATCCATTCATCTATTGAAGGGCATCTAGGTTGGTTCCACAGTCTAGCTATTGTGAATTGTGCTGCTATGAACATTGTTGTAGCAGTGTCCCTATAGTACGCTCTTTTAAGATCTTTAGGGAATAGTCCAAGAAGGGGAATAGCTGGGTCAAATGGTGGTTCCATTCCCAGCTTTCCCAGGAATCTCCATACTGCTTTCCAAATTGGCCGCACCAATTTGCAGTCCCACCAGCAATGTACAAGTGTACCCTTTTCCCCACATCCTCGCCAGCACTTGTTGTTTGACTTCATAATGGCTGCCAATCTTACTGGAGTGAGATGGTATCTTAGGGTGGTTTTGATTTGCATTTCTCTGACTGCTAGAGATGGTGAGCATTTTTTCATGTACTTGTTGATTGATTGTATGTCATTGTATAAATCTTTCACCTCTTTTGTTAGGTTGATTCCCAAGTATTTTACTTTTTTTGAGGATATTGTGAATGGGGTGTTTTTCCTCATTTCCGTTTCAGAAGTTTTGTCGCCGATATACAGAAATGCCTTTGATTTATGCGTGTTGATTTTATATCCTGCCACTTTGCTGAATTCATTTATTAGTTCTAGTAGTTTTTTTGTAGACCCTTTTGGGTCTGTTAGATATAGTATCATATCATCCGCAAATAGTGATAATTTAAGTTCTTCTTTTCCTATTTTTACGCCTTTAATTTCTTTCGTCTGTCTAATTGCTCTGGCCAGTGTTTCGAGGACTATATTGAATAGAAGTGGTGATAGAGGGCATCCCTGTCTTGTTCCAGATTTTAGAGGGAATGCCTTCAATTTTTCTCCATTCAGAATGATGCTAGCCTGAGGCTTAGCATAGATAGCTTTTACAATGTTGAGGTAAGTTCCTTTTATCCCTAGTTTTTCTAGTGTTTTGAACATAAAGGGATGCTGTACTTTGTCGAATGCTTTTTCTGTGTCTATTGAGATGATCATATGGTTCTTATCTTTAAGTCTATTGATGTGGTGAATAACATTTATTGATTTCCGTATATTGAACCATCCTTGCATCCCAGGGATGAATCCTACTTGATCATGGTGCACAATTTTTTTGATGTGTTTTTGTATCCGATTTGCCAGAATTTTATTGAGGATTTTTGCATCTAGGTTCATTAGAGATATTGGTCTGTAGTTTTCTTTCTTTGAGGTGTCTTTGTCTGGTTTCGGAATCAGGGTGATGTTGGCCTCATAGAATGAATTTGGAAGGGCTCCCTCTTTTTCTATTTCCTGAAATAACTTGAAAAGTATTGGTTTTAATTCTTCTTTAAAGGTTTTGTAAAACTCCTTGTATACCCATCTGGTCCTGGGCTTTTCTTGGTTGGTAGTCCTTTGATTGCTTCTTCTATTTCATCCATTGATATTGGTCTGTTCAAATTGTGTGTATCCTCCTGATTCAGTCTGGGCAAATCATATGACTTAAGAAATTTATCGATGTCTTCACTATCTTCTATTTTATTGGAATATAGGGTTTCAAAATAATTTCTAATTGTCTTCTGTATTTCTGTAGCATTTGTTGTGATATTTCCTTTTTCATCCTGTATGTTAGTAATTTGAGTTCTCTCTCTTCTTCTCTTCGTTAGCATGGCTAAGGGTCTGTCGATCTTATTTATTTTTTCAAAGAACCAACTTTTAGTTTTGTCAATTTTTTTCAATAGTTTCTTTTGTTTCAATTTCGTTGATTTCCGCTGTGATTTTAATTATTTCTTGCCTTCTGCTATATTTGCTGTTGTTTTGTTCTTCCTTTTCTAGGGCTTTGAGATGAAGTGTGAGCTCATTTATTTGTTGGTTTTTTCTTTTTTTGAGGAATGACCTCCAGGCAATGAATTTCCCTCTTAAAACTGCTTTCATTGTGTCCCATAGATTCCGATATGTTGTGTCTGTATTTTCATTTGTCTCTAAGAATTTTTTGATTTCCTCCTTTATGTCTTCTGTAACCCATTGATCGTTCAGTAACATATTGTTCATTTCCATGAGATGTATGATTTTTCCTTCCTTCTTTTATCGTTGATTTCCAGTTTCATTCCATTATTATCAGATAAAATGCATGGTATTATCTCCACCCCTTTATATTTGCTGAGGGTTGCCCTATGGCATAATATATGGTCTATTTTTGAGAAGGATCCATGTGCTACCGAGAAAAAAGTATATCCACTTGATGATGGTTGATATATTCTATATATGTCAGTTAAGTCTAGGTTATTGATTGTGATATTGAGTTCTATAGTTTCTTTATTCAACTTTTGTTTGGAGAATCTGTCCAATGGTGAGAGAGGAGTGTTGAAGTCACCCATAATTATTGTGTTGTGGTCTATTTGATTTTTGAACTTGAGGAGAGTTTGTTTTATGAATGTCGCAGCACCATTATTTGGTGCATAAATATTGATAATTGTTATGTCTTGTTGGTAAATGGTTCCTTTTAACAGTATATAATGTCCTTCCTTATCTCTTTTGATTAACTTAGTCTTGAAGTTGATTTTATTTGATATGAGGATGGCCACCCCTGCTTGCTTACTAGGACCGTGTGCGTGGTATGTTTTTTCCCAACCTTTCATCTTCAGCCTGTGTATGTCTTTTCCAATCAGATGTCTCTTGGAGGCAGCATATTGTTGGATTTGTTTTTTTAATCCATGTTACCAGCCTATGTCGCTTTATTGGTGAGTTTAAGCCATTTACGTTTAGAGTTACTATTGATATATGATTTGTACTTCCAGCCATGTTTGATTATTTATCTTTTTTTTTTTTTTTTTTTTTTAATTTGGTTTGTTTCTCCATGATTAGCTTTCCCCCTGCTCTCTGGCTTACTGAGGTACTTCCCACTGTTGGTTTTGGTTATTGTTTTTCATTTCTTCCTCGTGTAGTGTTTTGCTCAAGATGCTTTGCAATGCTGGTTTTCTAGCTGCAAAAAATTCTTTTTTAACTTTTGTTTATCATGAAAGATTTTTATTTCGTTGTCATACCTGAAGCTTAATTTTGCTGGATACAAAATTCTTGGTTGGCATCCACTGTCTTTCAGAGTTTGAAATACGTTGTTCCAGGATCTTCTCGCTTTCAGTGTCTGTGATGAAAAATCCGTTGTTAACCTTATTGGTTTACCCCTGAATGTAATCTGCCTCCTTTCTCTTGTAGCTTTTAATATTTTCTCTTTGTTCTGTATATTGGATATCTTCATAACAATGTGTCTTGGCGTTGGTCTACTGTGATTTTGTATGTTTTGTGTCCTGTATGCATCTACAATTTGTACATCCATTTCCTTTTTTATGTCTGGAAAGTTTTCTATAATTATTTCATTCAACAGGTTGTTCATTCCCTTGGTTTTAACCTCTATACCTTCCTCTATCCCGATGACTCTTAAGTTTGTTTTTTTTATGTTATCCCATATCTCTTGGATGTTTTTCTCGTGATTTTTTACCAGCCTTCCTGAGTTGGCTAGACTCTTTTCAAGATGATCTATTTTGTCTTCATTATCTGACGTTCTGGCTTCTACTTGCTCCACTCTGTTAGTTATACTCTCATTTGAGTTTTTAATTTGGTTTATAGTTTCCTTCATTTCTAAAATTATTGTTTGATTTTTTTAGTAATCTCTATCTCCTGATAAAGATGTTTATTTGCTTCTTTTATTTGCTTGTGTATTTCATTTTCAATGAGTTCTTTCATTGTTTGAATTTGCTGTCTCATATCCTCTTTAAGATTCCATTCCATCTGTCTAAGGTATTCTTTGAGTTCTTTATTTGACCATTTTTCTGATGCCTCTAGGTCCTCCTGTATATTTAGGCTGTTCTGCATTGTTTGTACTCCTTTTCTTCCTTGCTTTTTCATGCTGCTTATGTTATTTCTTGCTCTGTTTGACTGCTGAGTTACTGTTTACTCCTATAAATTTATTTGGTTTTGTGTGTCTCTGGGGTGACTCTTTTGTGATGGGAGACTATGACTAGACATGATGAGTTTTGTTGCACTTTAGTGTAGATTCATTTGTTTCCTAAACTGTGTACGGATTCTGATGGCATATAACGGTCTGCGGTTTGGTCTTGGGACTTATATTTAGGTCGAATGATGTGGTGGTATTGAGGTTGGTATCTCTTGGCAACCTTGGAAGGTTGCTCTACTGACGAGGGATATTAACAGGAGGATGGTCTGGAGTACTTGGGGGAAGTTAAGGTCTTGGTAGCACTACATAACGTCTCGGAACATTGACCTATACATATTTAGTAAATTACACATAAACAGCGTCGTATTGCTTGGGAGGAAAGGTATTAGAAGGGAAGGGAAGAAGTCACTAAAGAGAATGAGAGTAAACAGATAGAATTCAAGGAAAGGGGAATAAGGAAGTTGAAAAGACAAAAGAAAAAAATAGAAAATAAAAAAAGAAAAAATTAAAAAAAAATACTCAAAAAAAGTGAAAATAAAAAATAAAAAAATACCAAAAATATTTTAAAAAATTAAAATTAAAAAATTCAGTCTTAGAGTTCAATTAACTTCTCTTCCAGTAGGTGGAGCTGTGCCCACCGGGCCAGGCTTCTCCTCTCAGTGTGCGGGAACCAATCACTGTGCAGCAGCTCCTCCTCCCCGACTGGGCGGGTCTCCATTCCTGAGTGCCTCTGGCCGTTTCTTGTGTCTAGTCACCTCGCCACTGGCCCCATTCACAGGTGACGCTCACCACAATACTGGTTACGCGCCAGGTCTGCTGCTCACGGGAGCCCTGTTTTCTTGAACAACTGGGCACACTCTCCCTGCTTGCCAAACCCTCAGTTCCTAAGGTTGTGGAGCTTGGGGCTGAGAGCCCTCGGCGTATTTGCTTGCCCTCCGGTAGCCACGCCCCCGGGAGCTGGTGCAAGAGACCTCAGTTGTCTGCGCTCGTGGGAGCGGTAGCCAGGGGGGTCCCACGCCGCGGGTCCCGTGCCGCTCCTGAATCCCTCGGTCTGACTATCGCGCTCACGGGAGAGCTGGGAGGGATCCTTGAGGTTTCCCCGCTGTGTGGAGGTGGGGGCTAGGGGGTTACACACCTGCCGCCGCTGGTTTCAATGAAGTTATCTCCTCCACCGCATTCTGGTGACGTCAGTTCTCTGCCATGTTGGTATCCCATGCGAATGGCAGCATTTCGTTCCCTTTGCCAGGCGACCAAAGCAACGGGTGGGTCCTGACCGGCCCTCCCAAGCCCCGTCTCAATCCTGTGGCCATTGCCTATGAAGGCTTGGTTGGTATTTACCTCCACAGGATTCGGCGGACAAGCAGTTTCCACAGGTTCATTTAGCACTGAGCCAGAGCAGTTTGTCTGGGAGAGGCAGGCGAATGGGAGCCTGAATTCGGCCATTATGGGCTTGGTGTGTGTTCTGAGAGGAGCAGGCTATTCGCCCCAGATCCACGTTAGCTCAGCAATGCCTAGTGATCTTGAGCAAACAGCATTTAGATGATTTAAGACTCCCTATGCCCACGCAGCTGGAGAGGTCAGAGACTTGATATCTCTGTGCCTGCCGCCATGTTGGATCTCCTTTATTTTATTTTTATGTTGGTGCTGACAGTTGAACCCAGTGCCTCATGCATGCTAGGTGAGCGTGCTACCACTTGAGCCACATCCCCAGCCCCTAAGTATTTTTTTTTTAATGTGAATTTTCACTATGAACCTTGTATCAATATTTACTCAGTAAAGAGCAGTCTGATTATAAAAAAAGTTCGTATTCTCTCCTTATGTTACTTTCCCAATAAAAATAAACCATATAATAGATATTTTGAAATAATAATACTGTTCGAGAAATTATTAACAAATGGTTGTTAACAATTATTAGATGAATTTTTACTTTTCGTCTATAGCTTACTTTCTCTGTTGTAGCTGTTTTATCATCTATTGTTTGCCTTTTGACTTTATTACATTGTTTACTTTTTTATTGTTTGTTTTTCGTTATACCTGACAGTAGAATCCATTTTGACATAATTATAAAAGTTTGGAATATATCTTGTTCTAATTCAGACCCCAGTACCTCTCTTTCCTCTTCTCTCTCCCAATCTCTTTCTCCCTTCTATTGATCTTTCTGCCATTTATCCATAGTTTTTTAAAATTAATTTCTTGTGGCTGTGCACAATGGTGAGATTCACTGTAGTATATTCATATATGTACATATGAAAGTTATGTCTGATTCATTTACTGTCTTTTGTTTTCCTATCTTTCCTCCTTTCCCTTTGTTCCCCTTTGACTTCTCCACTGAACTTCTGTCCCCCACCACCATTTTGCTGTTGTCTCTTATGCCAAACACTGTAAAATAGACTGTTTGGTACTGTCTTGATCTCAAATTCATGCGAGGATTCTGAAATCATGTCAGTTTTCATTTTTATATACACTAGAAGGTGATCAACCAGATAATCCATAAAAATCATTATTTTTAAGTAAAAAAAAATTAACACCTAAATGAAAAGAAACAGAGGGATCCCCTTTAAGAGGTTTGTTTACTCCTCTTTGAAAGTTTTATCTCCTAAGACTAAAAAATATTTTTTAATTCATAAAATTTTAGAAATTTGAAAAGCACAGAACAGTAGTAAAAGATAGAATTACCCTGTGGTAAGTTACTCTCTTTATGATTCTTCTGTGTTTTTTTGGTATATGTGTATTCTTTCCTTTGTATATAGAGATGATATGAGGAACAAGCCCTTTGTTTGGACTTGTTTTCCTTAATGCAATGGGAAAACCTATTTTGTTGGAGCTCCCTTATGACAAAAGATACATTTTATGACTCTTTTAATGGTCTGTTCCCACAGAAAAGAATAAATCCAGCTAAAGCTTTTTGGAATTGGTACCTCCTTTCTAATTTATTACTGTGTTTTAAATAACTTAATTGGTTTATCTTTAGACTCTCTAAGATGTAGTCTCAAGATGAACCAGTTGACTTGGAAAATTCTTTTTTGCTAGGTTTGGTAATAGCAATTATATTATTTATGGCAAATTGTGTTTGATAGTTTGATTTCAAGTTGTGTTTCTTTTATTATAATATTCTTTTACTGATTTGAAACCTACAGGAAAATAACTTTGATCATCTTGATTTTGATTTGGATTTGATGCCTTGGGAATCAGACATTTGGACCATCAACAACCAATTCTGTACAGGTAATAATGTGCTTTGTTGATAAAAACGTTAACTAGACCATTTATTTTATAGTTTGGTAATACTTGAAATTAGGTGGGTTACTTTGGTGGGGTAAAAGATTCCAGGAAGCATGTATTCCTACTTCTGATATGACAATGTATAAATGAATTTCTTGCCAAAATGAATATAAAGAATTTCATAATAATGTTTCAGTAGAATAATGAATAAATAATTCATATTAGAAATAGAAATATTGATTCAAATTATGAATAATAAATATCTCTATAAGAGATTAACCCATTTAGGAACCATACAGGACTTAGGGAATCAAAGAGAAGAGGTTGGGGTTATCAGAACCTAGGAATTTGTTGGGGGAATCTCATGTAATTGGTGTACATACCTCTAAGAAGATTGTACCACTTGGCTGATGTTAACATCTTTAAGGGAGCTCAATGAGGTAGGGTTCAATGTGCTGGAACCTGGAGCAGACTGCCAATGATGGAGTAAAGCTCACAGGAAAATAAAGAAATATTTTCTGCTACCTTCTAGCACCTATCCAGTATCCTCTGTTAACTGGAACTAAAAGGAAGCCAACTGGGAAATATATAATAATTTGCATTACAGATTATAGGAGGTAGACTCAGAGTGGAGAGACAATGGATAAATAACCAGCACATTACTGCATCTAAATTCTTCCTTAGCCCCTTATCCTTCCTATTTCCCTTCCTTTTATGTATGTATTTATCTTGCTCAATGCCTGTCTTCCCTTATAGAATATGGGAGACACAAAGTCAGTGTTCTGGTTGCTGTTGTATAGTGAACTACTCTAAATCTGAGCAGTTTAAAAACTGTTTTATTAAGTTCCCAGAGTCTATGGGTCAGGAATTTGGCTTCATATATACTAGGCAAGTACTCTACCGCTGAGCTATATCCATAGTTCTTTTTAAAATTTTATTTTGAAACAGGGTCTTGCTAAATTGATGAGGCTAGCCTCAAACTTGCCATCCACCTGTCTCAAGCTTCCAAGTAGCTGGTATGAACCCCTGTGCTCAGCCTAGACTCTGCTTCTTGCTAGGAAAGTGACAAAATCACATTATAGACGGTCATGAGGGACAGTAGATATTTTGTGGCTTTGGAAAACACTGTCTGTCATCCCCGATTCTGTGGTATCTTTGGCCCTTTGGAATATTGCCTGGGCTATAGTTGCTCAGTAAATTTTTTATAAGGTAAATTAATAGTTCAAGAGATATTTTTTGTGAGTTTTAATTGTTTTGTCAAAATACTTTTAAAAATGATTCTTTCCTTTTTCTTGGGTTTAAAAAATTGGGGAAATGGATTTCATTTTTTGAACATGGTATAACATCCAAAAGATACAAAAGTTTGTACAGAAGAAAAATGTCTCCTTCTGCACTTATTTCTCAGCCAACCAGTTCTGCACCCCAGAGACAACAACCATGGTCATCAGTTTCTTCTTTACTCTTTCAAAGGATACAGATGCAGTGTATACATTTACACATACACAACTTATTATATGATTGGAGGCTTACTACTATGCCATTTTCTGCATCTTGCATTTTCATTTAATAATATATTTTGGTGACCTTAACTTCCATATATGATTGATTTAAAAACATTTTTTTTAGTAGTCAATGGACCATTATTTTATTTATTTAAATGTGATGCTGAGAATCGAACCCAGTGCTTCGCACATGCTAGGCAAGTGCTCTACCACTGATCCACAACCCCAGCCCCATATGATTGAATTTTGAAAGTAGATTTTACCTTTTTTTCTCATTGATTTTATTCTGAGTTTGTATTGTCCAGTGAGAAAAAAAATCACTTCATATTTTTCAGTTAAAGATATTAAGACAGAACCTCAGCCACTTTCTCCAGCTTCCTCAAGTTGTTCAGTCTCATCTCCTCAGTCAGTGGACTCTTGTTCTTCAACTCAGCATGTTCCGGTAAGTAGCCAATCTTTTACATGATTTGGGTTATAATGTTATTTGGAAAATATATGCATCAAGTGGGAGGGGGCAGTTTAACATTTACTAAGTGCTAACGAGGAGCCTTATGTTTCCTTAGGAAAGACCTTTTGGGAGCTAGAAAGTTGTAAGTCTTTATGTTCTTGCCTCCATAATTTCATTGAGTTTTACCAGTATTTTTTTTGTTTGTTTACTTCTTGCATCCCTCTCTACTCCCTGTTAGGATATGTATTCTTTAGGATATGGAAGAACATAAGATTGTCAGACTTTTATAGGTACTTGGTCATAGAACCTAGAATTATCTCTTTAGTTTAGGAATGCCTAACACTATCTTTTGAATGGGCTAAGGTTTTTACAAAAGTCCTGTAGCTCCTATTGCTTTTGTTCTCCCTCAAGATAAAAGCCATGATGTCAAGAAAAGGAAGTACCTGATTTTGGTAATGGGAAAAGAGAAGATACAAGAAGAAGAATCGAGTTAACACTTCAGTATATTTTCTTTGCTTTAAATTGAGGCATCTTTATTTTGGTAGGCTCTGTATTTCTTCAACTACTAAATTCTGATGATTCTATCTACCTTATGACTTCAGGATTCTTTTTTGCTCCTACCAGGCTTTCGTCATCTTATCTGGATTAAGTCAATAGGATCTTAACTGGTACTCTTTCTCCCAAACTCCTGAACCTTTCTTAGCAGAGTAATAATCCTCAAAGGGAAATCCTTCAAAAGCACAAACTTGACCATGTCATTCCTTTGCTGTAAAACCTTTTAACAGCTTCCCAACCCTTACAGGATGAAATTCAGATTCCTGGTGTGTTAGGGCCTCTATTATCTGACCCATGGTTAGCTTTCCAGTCTTCTTTCTTACTGTCTCTCCTGCTTTCACGCTGATCTTACTTAAACCCTGGAAGAATTCCTGCCTGAAAGCGTCAGTGTGTTCCATTCATTCACCAGCTGTTCTAGGAGCTGTCTCTGACACTGGCAGTGAATAAGAATAGTGAGATCTCTGCTATTTCAGTTTTAGATTTCTGCCCATTCTTTTTCTTCTCCACAAAATAGCCCTATTTTTGTTCTTTCAGAAAAGTCATCCTTTAAGACCCACTTCAAAAATTACTTAGTGTCTGAAAGTTTCCTTTGATTGCCACTATTAGAAGGAAGTACTCTATGGTTCCGTAATTTCTCCAAATGATTTAATATTTAAAAAATGTAATTTGCTTTTGGAGTCAGAAATACATAATATTGTATATTCATAAAAGTCTGTTTGTTGGTTTTGTCTTTTCTGTCCTTTCTTACATAACAGCATGTTGTATACCCTGTTATTTGTTTTTAACTTTATTTCTGTTATGTGTTTTCCTTAGGTGTGCTTTAAAAAAAAAAAAAAAAAAAAACCCCATGTTTTTAGTTGTTGATGGACCTTTATTTTGTTTGTTTATTTTTATGTGGTACTGAGGATCAAACCCAGTGCCTCACACATGCTAGTTAAGGTAAGCACACTACGAATGAGCTACAATTCCAGCCCCTAGGTGTACTTTTTTGATAGACAAGTTATTGATTGGCCTATTGACTTTTCCTTTCCTTTCTATGTGATATTCCTTTTTTTTTTTTTGTGAGATAGAGTCTTTCTAAGATGTCCTGGCTGGCCTTGAACTCCTGGGTTTCAACTGATCTTCTGGCATAAACCTTGAGTAACAGACTACAGGTGCATGCCACTGGGTTTGGCCTTTATTGTTCCCTCCTTCCCAACTCAAAACAGGGTTTTCACCACTTAGGTTATATAAGAATTCATTAGTTTTTTATTCTTGTTTTCTTGCTTATATTGATTTTTTTGTTTGGAATAATCTCAGATTTACAGAAATGTTGCAAGTACATTAGACGATTTTTTCACTAAACTATTTAAGAGTAAGTTGCCAGTCTGATGCCCTGTCTCCCCAAATACTTTAATGTCTCCTTCCTATAAGCCAAAATATTTTTTATATCGCAACAATGTAGCATCAAAATTAGGAAATAAACATTGATACATTACTATCTAATCTTCAGCTCCTATTTAAAGTGTATCAGTTGTCCCAGTGATGTCCTTTAGACCAGCAAAAGGATCCAGTTTGGAGTCATATTGGATTGTCTTGTCTCTTTAATTTCCTTCAGTCTGAAATAGTTATTCATTCTTCATTGACTTTCATGACCTTGTCTCTTTTGGAGATCATAGGTTATATATATTTTGTAGAGTATCCCTCAGTTAGATTTGTTTGATATTTGCTAAGGGCTGGATTCAGGTTTTGTATCCATGGCAAGAATGTTGCAGAAGTGATGCTAGGTTCATTTCATTTACTTTTTGTTTTTATTCCAGTATTGGGGATTGAATCCAGAGGTGCTTTACCATTAAGCTATAATCCAGGCCAGGCTTGGTGGTGCATACCTGTAATTACAGCAGCTCAGGAGGCTGAGGCAGGAGGATCCCGAGTTCAAAGCCATCCTCAGCATTGGCGAGGTGCTAAGCAACTCAATGAGACCCTGTCTCTAAATAAGATACAAGATAGGGGGCTGGGAATGTGGCTCAGTGGTTGAGTGCCCCTGAGTTCAATGCCTGATACCAAAAAAAAAAAGAAAGAAAAAAAAAAGCTATAATACGTCTAGTGGTTTACAATGAGGCCAGCCTAGGCAACTTAGTGAGACCTTCTCTCAAGATAAAAAAATAAATAAAAAGGGCTCGGGATATAGCTTAGTGGTAGAGTACCAGGGGTTTAAAAAAAAAAAAAGTTTATTCTGGTATCATTTATTAAAAATTTATTTTTCTCACTGATTTCAATTTTATTCCCATATTTTAAATTTACATAAATGGTACTATTTAGACCTATTTCTACTATTTATTTTTAAAAATTAGCACTATGTTAATATTAATTCATAATATTAATTATCTATATATCAAATCTGTTGCATCTAACTTTGCACATTTCAAGTATATGTTTACTGCATTTTACGTACATCACAATACATATTGTCACACTTGTGGGCCAGTGTGAGAATTCCTTTGGGATGTATGCCCAAGAGTAGAGTTGTTGGATGGTAGGATGTATAGATATTTAATTTGACATGTGCTTCCTTCCATATGGCTCTACAGGGTCATTGTAGTACCCTGCAGGCCAGTCAGCAGTGCTTGAGTATCCCTGTAACTTCTCTGATAATGCTTGACATTGTCTGATTTTCTAATTTTTGTCAGATGTTGAACCTTTTTTTAATTTGCATTTCTTGGATTACTAATCATTTTCGACATTTATTTACATTCTCGTTAGCGTTGGACTTCTGCTATAAATTGTTTATTCCTGTTCTTTGATATTTTTTCTGTTGTTGTCTTTTTCTTGTTTATTTGAAAGAATTCCTTGTATATTAATATATTAAGCTCTTATTAGGCTTAATATCTTTTTCACTTTCTATTATTTATCACCTTTGTAGTCTTAAGAAATTCTTAATTTTCTTTTCTTTGTGATATTAGGGATTGAACTCAGGGACACTCAACCACTGAGCTCCATCTCTGGTTCTTTTTATTTTGAGACAGGGTCTTGCTAAATTGCCCAGGCTAGACTTGAATTTATAATCCTCTTGCCTCAGCCTCTGGAGTTGTTGGGATTATAGGCCTATGCTACAGTGCACTCAGGGGCACACTCAACCATTGAGCCACATCCCCAGTCCTATTTTGTATTTTATTTAGAGACAGGGTCTTACTGAGTTGCTTAGTGCCTTGCTAAGTTGCTTAGGCTGGCTTTGAACTTGGAATTCTTCTGCCTCATCCTCTTGAGCCACTGGGATTGCAGACATGTGCCACCGGGCCTAGCTTATTTCTTTAATATAAGGGGATGGCATAGACATATTCCACATTTAAAAAAAATTTTTTTTTTAGTTGTATATGGACACAATATCTTTATTTATTTATTTATTTATTTGTTTTTATGTGGTGTTGAGGATGGAACCCAGGGCCTCACACATGCAAGGCAAACACTCTACCACTGAGCTACAACCCCAGCCCCATACTCCACATTTTGAGTTAGTTTTCCTTTGGTATTGATTGATAATGTTGACTTATCCACAGTCACTTAGTATTTAGCATGTAGTTTCTAGTATATCACTTCTTTGCCTTTGAAGAATTTTTCTATTTATATATGGATGTCGCCTCTCTTATTAAGCAAATTTATGCTTAAGGATTATACTCTTCTGCATTAAATTGTTTGTTTTTATTTTGCTGCAGGAGGAGTTGGATTTGTCTTCTAGTTCCCAGATGTCTCCCCTTTCCTTATATGGTGAAAATTGTAATAGTCCTTCCTCAGCAGAGCCACTAAGAGAAGATAAGCCTATCATTGGTGCTAGGAGCAAAACTGGTATTACTCTATCTCCTAATTTCTCTATATATATTTCCAACTGAGCTTAGGTTCATTTCTTTCTTTTTCTTTTTGGTACCGGGGATTGAACCCATGGGTGCTTAACCACTGAGCCGCATCTCAAGCTCCCCGTTTTTTTAAATTTTGAGTCTGGAACTTGCCAAATTGTTTAGGGCCTCACAAAATTGCTGAGGCTAGCCTTGAATTTGTGGTCTTCCTGCCTCAGCCTCCCATGTTGCTGGGATTACAGGTGTGTGCTACCATACTTGGCATTAGTTTACATTTCTTAAAAGAAAATGTTGGATTAAGCATGTTTATTAAACTGGCTTGTTGTTTTTAAATTATTACACCTATATTATTTGTTATATATGATTACTGCAGAGAAGAAAGGGAAGAAATAATCTCCTTTGATTATCTCTTTAAGTTTTTAAGTACCAGGCATTGAATCCAGGGGTGCTAACCACTGAGAAACATCCCCAGCCCTTTTTCTTTAAATTTTGACACAGGACCTCTCTCAGTTACTTAGGCCTTGCTAAGTTGTGGAGGCTGGCTTTGAACTTGAGGTCCTCCTGCTTCAGCCTCCAGAGGTGTGCACTAGCACACCTGGATGATTATCTCCCTTTCTTTTTTTTTTTTTTTTTTTGTGTGTGTGGTACTGGGGATTAAACTCAGGGGCAGTTGGCCACTGAGCCACATCCCTAGCCCTATTTTATATTTTATTTAGAAACAGGGTCTCACTGAGTTGCTTAGTGCCTTGTTTTGGTTGAGGCTGGCTTTGAACTTTCAATCCTCTTGCCTTGCTCAGCCTCCTGAGCCACTGGGATTACAGACATGGGCCACTGCACCTGGCTGATAATATCTTTGTAGGTGAAAAAACTTTAAAATAGACTTTGACTTAATCATCTTCAGGAGAGTTTTTAGTTTTGATTAAAGATACTGAATGTGAGGGTCATTTTATCACAACATTTATTAACTTATTCATCTCTAAGCTTTATTCAGTGATTTCAGCTATTCTCCTTTACTGTTCCTTCTCAAAACTACAGTTTGGTCAAAAAGGAGGATATCAGATTAAGGAATTTTCTTTGGTCTTTTCAGGTACATGGTAGGTATGCTTAAACTCCAGTGCAAGATAGTTACTCAGAAGTCAAGATAATGTATAAAGTGTTTAAATAAAATCTGTTTTCTAGGACTTGCTCAATTGCCTTAGATTGATTTGTGGTTTGTTTTTTCTCCAGAAAATGGACTGACTCCAAAGAAAAAAATTCAGATGGGTTCAAAGCCTTCAGTTCAGCCCAAACCTTTATTACTTCCGGCAGCACCCAAGACTCAAACAAACTCCAGTGTTCCAGCAAAAACCATCATTATTCAGACACTACCAACACTTATGCCATTGGCAAAGCAGCAACCAATTATTAGTATACAGCCTGCACCCACTAAAGGTACTATTGTGGAAATTGAGGCTGTATATGTTTATTTGGAAGATAGTACAAAGATTTTGTCACTTTTTAAATATATAAATAATTCAGGTTATAATTACTGAACATGTGTGGTGTGTCAGGAATTGTCCTTGCTTCTGACGATGTTGCAGAGATGACTAATATGTGGTTTTTGTCCTAACAGAGAGAGCTCTTCAGATCAATTATATCCAGTACTTCTTTTTTCTTACAGTTTTAATTGATACCTGTTTTCAAGGCTTTTTTGTTTTTTTTCTTTTTCCTTAGTATTAGGTTTAAACCCAGGGGTGCTTATCCCTAGCCTTTTTGATTTTATTTTGAGACAGATATTTTGCTAAGTTGCTCAGGCTGGCCTTAAATTCCCAAATCTCCTTCCTTCCTCCTAAGTAGCTGAGATAATAGTTGTTTGCATCCATGGCTGCTTAAAGTGTTTGGTTTTATATAACCACTTGAAATGTAGGAGTTAAGATAAAAGATTGCCATTTTATTCTGAAAATTTGTGGCCGTGGGTTTTTTTTTTTTTGGTTTTGTTTTGTTTTAAGGAGTGATCGGTATTTAAAGTAATATATTCTATTTTTGGTCATATAGGTATGTTTCAGCGTAGAGTCTGGTTCTTTATCTCTGGGGAGACTGAATGGTTTAGTAAACAGGGCATTAGGAAGAAACCTAAATTCTCTTCAACTAGCTAAGAATTTGTATTTCTGTATTTTATCCACCAGATGGCCTCACATACTTGGGATTCTACAAAAATTTTAGGTTGACACTGAAAGAAGTTCAATGAGGATTTGGTGCTACTCACATATGGGAATCACTTGCTTATGGCAATCTTTTAGGCAGCTTAGTTATATATTGATATGTATATGTATGAATATGAGAAAGTTTGTATAACATTATTTTCTCTGGATTTAACTTCTTGGCACCAAGTAGTAGTAGGTGTTACTGAGTATGAGTTGTAAATAAACATCAATGTAACGTTTGCCTTCATGGTTGTATTTATAGTTGTTAGCTCATTTTTTTGAAGCTTAATTTTAATAAAGGCAAGGTAATGTATTTGAGCTCCACTGTTAGCTTTCTTCTATTACATGGTCATAGATAATTAGACACTGATAGAAAGAAAGGAACTAAACAGAATAGATGGATTCTACCAAAAAACAAAATGAAACAAAACAAAAATAACTGAAATGCCTGCCATCTCAGTACAGAGTCAAATTTTTTTTCATATGAAAAATAGTAATCTTATAGAATAGATATTCTTGTGATCTATAACTGGGTGTTAATGTTCATAAACTCCTTGAAATAAAGTGAAAGATTTATTATATACTTATAATATGGGTTTTTAAAGAGATAGTCTCAAAAGCTTTCATTAGAATCTCAAAAGGATTTGTGTCTTTCCAAAGACTAAGAATTTTAAACTCACAAAGAACCTCATTATCGTTCCCATAAGCTATTAGAGCACATCTATAAAAAGTAAAAGTCTGGCATTAATATGACAGTGTGTAAAGAATGGGATATTCCTAAGAGTTTGTTCTTGGACCATTGAATATGTTTAAGTGATAGAAGATCTTACCTATACCAGGAAGACAGGTTGTTCTTTTCTGAACAGTTTCTTAGTTCTAGAAACTGGAACCACGCATTATTTAGAATTTCAATGATTTCCCATGATCTGAAGATTATTTTTTGTAACCATGTGTTAATAGGAGGCACTGAACCTTGTTTGTTTTTGTAATACAGTATAGAGAGGTGATATTATTATTTTACAGATTAAATATATATCTTTCATTTATTTGAGAATGGGAAGGGAGGAAGAAGAAATGTAGGTAAGGAATTTTATAGTTTATCAGTTTCTGCATTAATAGATTTTACCATTGAAAAACAAGACATAATTCCCATATGGCTAAATCCTAATTCTCTAGTGTGGAATGTAAAACCTTTCACAGTTTCTCTTCTGTTTAGTTTTCTAACTTTACATTATTAATATTATTTTAATTTATTTATTAGTTGTAGATGGACATAATACCTTTATTTTATTTATTTATTTTCATTGGTGCTGAGGATCGAACCCAGGGTCTTGCATGTGCTAGGTGAGCGCTCTACCGCTGAGCCACAACCCAGCCCCTCTAACTTTACATTATAATATTACTTTTTTCTAAAAGCCCCTTCTTGTGACTCTCATAATCAGTCATTGTCCCTTGAATTCTCTTGGTTTTCCTAGTACGTTTTTTTTTTTTTTGGCTCACACTCTTCTATCAACCTGGTACATTTTTTTGCTTCTAAGTTCTGCACATGTCCTTTAAGATTAATTTGAGTAGTGTGGGCAAAAATACGAAAGTCTGGAATGTAATGAAAATGGACAGCTAGGGCTGGGATGTTGCTCAGTGAAAGAACACTTCTCTAGCATGCATGAGGCCCTAGGTTCAATCCCTAGAACTGAAGTGGGGCAGGGATGACAACCAGGATGGAGAATAGATATGTTAAAAGTATAGAATTGTGGGGCTGGGGATTGGCTCAAGCGGTAACACGCTCGCCTGGCATGCACGGGGCGCTGGGTTCGATCCTCAGCACCACATAAAAATAAAATAAAAAAAGATGTTGTGCCCACTGAAAACTAAAAAATAAATATTAAAAAATTATCTCTCTCTCTCTCTCTCTAAAAAAAAAAAATGTAGAATTGTAGGCCCTGGTAACTGGATGGTATGGAGGGTGGATGAAGGATAGAGAGGAAGATCTACAGTGTCTTCTGTATTTCTGTCTTGGGCTTTTTGGGTAGGTGATATTGCAATTCATTAAACAGGATGGAAGTAAGATTATTTTTTTGAAGAAGAAGTGAAGCTGAAATTTGAGCCAGGTGGTTTGGTCTGTGTAATTAATCATTATATTGCTGCTAAAAGAATGAGATGTGTTCTTGTTCTCATGAATTCCCTACCCTTGAGGAGTTAAATTTACATAAACAAGTAACAGTTACTTTGAGAACTAGTGAATTAATAATATATGCAGTGTTCTTTAGAGAAACTGTTATTCTGAAAAGGTGTTAGTATACATAATATTTTAAGCTCTTACTATGTGCCAGACACTCTTCTAAGTGCTTAAGTACATTATCTTGAGGATAGATGTATTTCCATTTTATAGGGGAGATAACTGGCACAAATTGTTTACCCAAAGTCACACAGGTATTCTATTTTAGGCAGAATAGGTATTTGATAAATGTTTGATACATGGTTTGCAATCTGTGAAGAAAGTTGAAAAGGAAGAAGTGACTATCAAAATCAGTGAGTCATACATTGTCAGAAGTCTCCAGCATCAAATCCAGCTGACTTTCATTAAGAGGATTTGCATGTAATGCCAAGGAGGATTTTGAGCATGCTAAAATGGATAAACAGTTTTTTTGGTATGTCCTTTTTATCTGTTTCCACACTAGGAACAGTGGTAATTATGTTCCACTGCTATTAAAAGTCCCAGTCCTTTGCATTGTAGTTTGTGGTCTGGTCAGCATTTAGCAAGTCACCATGAGAATTTTTTGTTCTTGAACACATTTTAGTAGAAATTTATTTCCTTTCATTCTTTCCTGAATGGGAACATGCCTGGAATATATAGGGGGTCCTTGTCCTAGTTGCTGGATAACTTGAGAATAGTTGAAACTTCTATGACTAAAGGACTTGATGTACCACGTGGCAAAAAAAGGAGCCCTGGTAGAACTTGAGCCACATTTGTTGCACAGACGTTGCCTTGAGAATCCTCCATCTCTTTCTCTCCAAGTTGCAGTTCTCTCAATAAGGAGATGGTGATAACTAGACAGAAGACAGGATAAACTTGGATTATTTTTCTTAATTAATTTTTTTTGAGAGAGAGAGAGAGAGAGAGAGAATTTAATATTTATTTTTTAGTTTTCGGCGGACACAACATCTTTATTTGTATGTGGTGCTGAGGATTGAACCCAGCGCCGCACATATGCCAGGCGAGCGTGCTACTGCTTGAGCCACAACCCCAGCCCTCTTAATTAATTTTAAGCAATATTACAGCTGCCTGCATGCATTATCTGCCAATCCTTTAAATCTATAACTGAAGTTAGAAGTCTGATGATTTCTTTGAAAAAACTTAATTCTGTTTCCCTTGTCCTCTCTTCTTGGGAGTAGTCCCAAAGTTTTGGGCAGGCATTTTTTTTTTTAATCATAATTTTTAAACTAAGAGGATATGGAACATTACATCACTTCTCAAAATATTGGTTTAAGTCAGTGGTTTTCAATCTGTGAACTATAGATCCTGGAGTATGGGTCAGAGGGTTGGTAGCCTTGTGACATTTTGCAAGACATCCTCAAATCCACATCTGTAGCAAGAATTTTCTGTAGATTTTAATTGTAATTTCTTACTAAGTATTACTAAAAACCTAATCCTTGGTCTTATGTTTAAATTTATATCTGCTTAGGGGCCATTTCCCCAGTTTGTGTTTTTATGTCATAATAGAAATGAGTACAAGAGAAAATGAGAAGATAAAAATGTTTAGCAATTATTTAAATAAACTGTATATATTATAAATCTATAAAATTATTTTTAGATCTTTCTTGCTAATTTACTAATTTATCTAGGATAAAATGCTGTTAGTTAAATTCTATTTTTTGTGTGTTTTCTAGGTCATCTGAAACAAAGACATTAATTTTATAACAGTGATCTTTTTTAACCAAGAAAGATGTTCTAAAAAAAAAGGTGTTCTAAAACGTTATTTTGATTTTTAGTTTTTCCTAATTCTTTGAAATACCAAGCTGAATTTTATGAGCCATGTTAAACTGTCCGAAAGTATAATACTTTTTTTTTCCTTAAAGAAGAATTATAAATTTATATGGAAATTTAGTTGCTTGTTGCTATAGTACCTTTAGTTTGCTAGCTAGGCCCAAGCAGCTGTGGATATTAGGCCAGGCTTTCAGCACCTTATAAAATTGGTCAGATCTGAAAGGAAACACTTAGCAGGCAAGTAAAACTTTTAATAGATCAGTGTTATGAGTTGTATAAGTTTTCTTTAGGGTAAAAATACTAGTTCTCAGGTAAGCACAAGTTTAAAATACTGATAAATGTGAAGGCTAAGAAAAGATTTGAAGGCCTTTTTTTTGGCAGGGGTTGAAAGAGTTGGTATTATCTACAGACTTTTAAATTACAGATTTATGTTTACTGTGTTTATTAGCTAAGAATTCATCTAAAATGGTTTTAACTTTTTTGGTATTTGTAGTCCTTGTTATTCCATTTTTCAGTAGCTTTTCAGTATTGTATATGTTTATAATCATATAATTTAAAATATATGGTTCTTTGTGTTCAGTATAAAAGATTTGTTATTTATAATATGAAAAATCCTTATAGCACTAGTACACTTTAGAGGTTAATACTTAGAGGATCTCTCTTTCTATATATATAGTAGCAAATTTGGTGTGTATGTAGTTGAAAAGGTAAATATGAAAAATACTGTTTTTTATATTTATTTTTTTTGTGATGAGGTCTCCCTGTGTTGCCCAAACTGGGCTCAAACTCCTTGGCTCAAGGGATCCTCCTGCCTTAGCTTTTCAAGTGCTGGGACTACAGACATGCATCATCATACCCATTTTGGAAGTATATTATTAGTGATAACTCCAAGAGGATGGTTTCATTAAAAACACAATAGCAGAATGTATGGTGCTGTTGGTTATGTTTTACTTGCTGGTGTGAAATTCCTCAGTGTTGATCTTAGCTATTATGTCTGCAGAAAAGACCTAGATTTTAAACTGTTTTCCCAGCCACCATAGTTATGTACTCTCTGATTTCTCTTCTTTTTTCTAACACAGGTCAGACTCTTTTGCTCTCTCAGCCTACTGTGGTACAACTTCAGGCACCTGGAGTTCTGCCCGCTGCTCAGCCTGTCCTTGCTGTGGGTGGGGGAGCCACACAGCTACCTAACCAGGTGGTGAATGTAGTTCCCGCCCCTGTGGTGAACAGCCCAGTGAATGGAAAACTTTCTGTGACTAAACCTGTCCTACAAAGTCCCATGAAAAGTGTGGTTTCAGATGTAAGTTTAAAACTTCATCCTTTTTTAATGCCTGATTTCTAAAGTCCAGAAATACCTTCTGCTTTTGTTGTCTTGTTTTTCTGTTTTTAAAAGCTTGTTATATTGTGTGAAATAAAAAATTGCACATCTAGTGTTAGGTAGAAAATGAGGGTAAGGCTTATTATGTTTGAATCTAAATGAAAAAAAAATTTTTTTTCTTAAAAATTTTTTTTTTCCATGAAGGCAAATGTTAAAGACTGAGGTGATTTGATGAAAAATGAAGTATGCATACCTCCCTCTTCTTTACTACTACTTTAGAACCCTCTCATCACATTCCTCAAACCTCCTCCACCTAATCATCTATTAATATTTTACAGATTCTTTCATGTTTCCTGACTGAAATGTTTTTAGCAACTCCCCAGATAAGAGTCTGTGGACAACTTTTTAAGGCAGGTTTTATATTTAGCTTCTCTAGACTTCTTGAAGGGTTTTCAGCACTGCATAATGATATTCCTACCCTTAGGAATTCTGTCTCTTGATAATTATTTGGAACTTTCCTTTCTTTGCAAACCTTCATATTTTCTAGCATGTTGTAGGGATTTGTTGTAGCTTATACTTCACAGAGTTTCCTAAGATCTATTATTCTCTAAAGCCAGTTACATCACTTGCCAGCTAACTTGCTTTCTTTGAAAGTGACTAGAAATATTTTGTTATATATTCCACAGTGAGCGAACATCCAGGTCCTAAAATATAATCAAAGTTTCATCATCTAACAGTAGATTCTCTCAAATTTTGACAAGCAAAGCCTATATATTTTCTTTAAAATAAAAATGGATATTACTAGTTGTTAATATTGCTATTTCATCCTTTCTTCTAAAGGACTTTTACAAAATATTTTATGAATCCAGTGAATATGCTGGTTTTTTTTTTATCAGACCACTCTCTGATCTGCCTACCAGAATTCATTAACCATGGTGTCAATTACCCATTTAGTTGTGAATTTGCTCTACTATCGCATAAACACAACCACGTAATCTCAAGTGGCAATATTGTAAAAACTCATAACAAAGAAATACTGTCTAGTGAGAGTAGAACACCCAAGTTCTAGAAAAGGGTCCTATAGTTTGTGTAAATACTAAAAATAGTGCATGCCAAGACATGGTATAGGCAAATTACTGTCATAATAGAATAGAGAATATGAACAATATGGAATTAGAGTTGACTATTAGTTTATTTTGAGGACTAGAAAAAGGTAAGCACAGTGCTTACAGCTTAATAGATACTAATGTATAGGATGTGTTTCAGTTGAAGGTGGAACAGTACAAAGCAAGGTTTTATTTTAAAATATTTTGTAGGCATGTGGTAAGCACAGGATAAAGAAAGCAAGATTGGAAAAATATGATAGAAGCTGGTTGTTTTATATTTTTTTCTTTTGGTGTATGGGAAAATTTATAAAATATTGTAAAAGAACAGTAATAAGAAAAATCCTAAAATATTCCATGGTATTTACTATCAAAAAAGTTGTACAACCAATAAAAAAAGAGTATGCTTTTCAGAGAAGACTAGAGTTAAGAATGAGGAAAAAGGATATAAAAAACATTAAAAAGGATCCCTTTAAATTTCCTTTTAATACTCTTTAAATTATGAACTTGAATGTTTCTTATATAATATACCCAAATGAAACTTAACAATAGAAAATATTTGAAGTTAATTTATGTAATATGTTAGGACATTTAAAATATTTTTTAAAAGATAATTTGCACATAAAATAAAAAATAGCATGTGTGAAGAAGCCCTGGGTTCAATTCTCAGCACTGCAAAAAGAAAGAAAAGAAAAAAAAAAGATAAAGACTAATCAGAACTTTTAAAATATATAGGTCAACAGTACGATATAGTTGTTAAAGTCTGTATTCATGCATTTATGACATCCCGATCTTGGACAATCAAGAGGAACAGAGCTAGGAGGGGAGGGTGTCTGGAAACCATGTTATAGGAAGAGGAGTGGTTTAAGGATTGGAATGATTCAGTAACGTGAAGAAGGCTGAAAGTAACTTGGGAGAAATCTTCCAAGAAGTGAAGGTTGTCATGTGGAAAATAAGAGAATTTTTCTAGAGGACTTATCTAGAACAAGTATAGATAAGTTATCTGAGTTGGAAACCAGAGGAGGTCTTTTTTTCTTCTTTTAGATTCATTATCTAAATAATGAGCATCTGAATATTGGCAATCATCATTGTATGCTGCTGACCCATTTATAATCTGGAAACATATTTCAGTTAATTATATGTTGGTATATTAGCCAGACATATTTTATTAGTTCTTTGATGTGAAAGATCATGTCTCTTCTGCTTTTGTACTCTTAAGAAGGCTCTGAAAATTTATTGAGTAATTTGCTGTCAAACTTGCATTGACACTGAGGAACTAGGGGATGTGTGAGATGAGAAAGTGTCACACTATTAGTATTAGCTTGTTTTTAGCAGTATTTATTGGCTAGCTTTTTAATTACTTTCCAAAAATTAGAAGTGACATTATTATAAAAGACTAACTCAGGTACTCTGTGTTTAGTGCTAGAGACCTAAAGACTATCAGAATAATTTTCTAGTCAACTTACATTGAAGTTTTTGTGCTTATTTTTACTTGGCTAGTACATCAGGAAGTGAGCCAAGACTTTTCAGCAAAAGTTTTTTAGTAGAGGTTTTGACTATTTATTTCAACTAAAGAAGCACCAGTCTGTCCTATCAGCTGGCCAACACATTCAGGAACTCAAAAGTAAATCTCTTCCAGAAGGAGCTGCAGAAGAGAACTTTGATATGCTTATATAGTCTTCTGTAAGTTGGTTGACCTTAACAGTATATGTGCTTGTTGAACTCAAGTCACATTAAATTAGGATAAGTTTGAATTAGTATAAATTTCTAATTCACAAAGAAAATTTTTTTATCATATTTTTTTTTTGTATTTTTTAAACCAAAAGTGTGGAGAAAAAGTTTTAATCAACCTTGTGGTTTTGTAATGGTGACATGGATACTTTTTTCCTACCTTTTAAGTTCTTTTGTTTGGCTGGTTTTACTCTCTAGAGGCCTCCTACTGCCATAAGTAGCGTTTTTAGCATACCATATTCTGCAAACTGCATTAAGTGCCACATTTTCTGTTATGAAACAGTTGGCCTGGTTCAAATTATAATTTCACTCTTCCTGCCTTTTACTGGTAAATCTGTTTTGTTTAACAAAACCTCACCTAAGTTTTCAAGAATTATGGTTTGTTTTTGGCTCTGATCCTGATGGAAAAAATGAACGTGATCTCTCATTTCAGTTTAGAAATTCTCTATGCAGTTTGTTAATAAATGGTAATCTCGGAACTACAAAGTTGACTTCATAGGAGAGCATGCTTATCTTTCTCTAAAGGGCAATTGAATGTTGCCAGATGTTGAACCAAAGGCTTGAAAACAAGCACTGTGTTTGTGTTTCAATCTGCATTGCACTTACTAGTTCCTCCTACCCACCATAATCCCAAAAGTTTATGAAGTGTTACTGCCTTGGTTTGAAGATTATTGAATTACATTATTAGGATTGTTACAAAGGACCAAGAAAAAATTGGTTAAATTATACGTATTCCACAGTGGGCTAAGGTGAAACAAAGACTCCTAGTGGAAATCAGGTTTGAACAATGGAAAGAAAATTATCAAGAATTAGAAATAACCTTACATGGGAAGATGATTAAGAGGTACAGACTAACAGGGTGCAGTGGCATCTGCCTGTAATCCCAGTGACTTGGGAGGCTGAGGCTGGGGGTTCACAAATTTGAGGCTAGCTTCAGCAATTTGGTGAGATGCTGCCTCAACATAAAAAATTAAAATTAAAAGGGTGGAGAGTGTAGCTGAGTTGTAGAGTGCCTCTGGGTTCAACCCCTAGTACTACCCCCCGACCCTTCCCCACCAAAAACAAAAAGTACAGACTATACTGCCAGAAGGTCCTAGGTATTCCTTCTGAACATCTTCCAAACCCTATATCACTTTACATTCTCTTTCTAAACCTTTGGTTAAAGACTTTGATTCCCCTTTGTTGCCAAAAGACTATCCTTTGGAAGTTTCTGCCTGGGGTCCCACAACCATGATGAAAAGAGAGGTGGTGGTTGGGAAATCCCTTTCCATTTGCCTTTAGGTTTTAGAAATGGTGTGAAGGACCATTCTCCTGACATGCCAAATTGGATCTTTGTATTTCTTTTCTCTAGAAAGGGTGTTAAAGAGTTAAGTTTGAGATTTTAGATGTTAGTATTGTTAGCATGGATGTGGGCCCAGGTGGATGCTCTGTATATAGCATTCCTTTTTTTTTCAGGGGAAGAACGTGAACTTGAGGAATCTACCATTTTTACCGCAAACAGAAAGCAAGCTTCTTCATTGTCTAAATGCAGGCTTTACCTTATTGTTTGAAGATTCTGGAAACTCTGGAAAATGGCCTGGGAAATAGTGATCAGGGCTTTGCATTCTTAGCATACTCAGTAGATGTGTGTAGGAATAACAAGAGACCCACTAGCAGTGTCTCTCAAGAAACATGAGTCTGTAATAATCTATTTGTAATGCAAAGCAACTTGAAAAAATGAAGAGTGCCTGAAAGCAGGCTAAATGTCTATAGAGATTTTGCTTTGTTTTAAGGGTAAGACCCAAGAATAGGGCCTCTGTTTGAGATATGAACTGAATCTTCAGCCTTAAATTATGTGACTGGCTTATATTTTAGAAGATAAATGATGAATAGACACTTTTTAGTAACTGAATTCTTTAACAATGAAAACATTAAATTTATGGTATTTATTTAGGCTGCAAAGTAGATGAATCTATCAGAACCTATTCAACAGGAAAAATTTGGAGATCTAAAAACCTATCTAGAGTTCAGAAAAAATTACTTCTGTGCTGACTACTTTTATTTGCAGAGTTCCTGCTACTACCAGGGACTCTGCAAATAAAGGAAAAACATGCCTTGTTAAAATATTTGCCATTTCTTTTAAATGGAGTTTTGGAGCTTCTAAAAGTT